ATCTCTTAAAAACCCCCTCACTTGAACTCTCACACTTCACTTTCATAATCTCTCCCAAACACTCACACTCAATGGCCACTCTCAAGAGAAAATTGCAACAAAGGTTTTGAGTGTTAATTTTTAGGACTCTTATATAAAAAACACAAGAAAAATCATCCAAAAATATAAAAGTTATAAGTGAACCGACATTAGATCATACAGTACGATCATAAATTGTATGTATAAATAGTTCAAAAATCTAGGTACGATCCTATACCAACCTTATTTCATACTCTATTAGTCATCTATACGAACTGACATCGTAATGTACGAATAGTTCAAAACTAAACCTATTCATTTGGTATGATCCTATATGAATTTTATTTCATATTATGTCAGTCATTTGTATGAACTGACATCATACTGTATTAACAGTTCAAAATTGAACCTATTTGTTTGATGCAATCCTATACAAACCTTATTTTGTACTATATTAATTGTTTGTACGAACTGAAATTGTAAAGTACGAACAATTAACACAAATCATAATTCATTTGGTATGAACATGGATGACCCTATTTCGTACTTTACCAGTCGTATGTAGAAATTAACATTGTACAAAATAAATAATATAAAAAAATGAGTTTATTTGGGACGAACTAGTACGCACCCGATTTCATATTCAGTCAGTCATCTATACGAATTAACATCATACATAACAAATAATATAAAAATAAAAGACATAATTTGATTAACTTTATTTTGGAGGAAAAATATGATAAATTTTCAAGTATGATTGTAAATCGTACAGTACGATTAGTTTTAAAATTTTAAGTTTTGACTCTATACCTAGTGTATTTTTGCACGATTACCCAATTACAATCACAGACTCTCAAACTCAAGAAAAAAAAAATAATAAAGATTTATAGACTTCATTACGTGAAACTCCAATCTCCTTTATCTTAAAGTCTTCAGTAGTATGGAGTATGATTTTCCAAATATATCAGTACAAACAAACAACGAATATAAAATATCCACTACATGCTAGGAGAAATAATATAATTAATAGAATAATAATATTTTGTTATCATAAAAAAATATATTCTCAAGTTAGATTCCTGTGTTACAGTGTTATAATCATCAGCCTTTCATGTAAAACCCGAAAACGACGTCATTAGGTCGTCGCACGCTTTTCAAAGCATCGCGATGAGATTTAAGTGAGATTTTTAATGTTAACAAAATTCAACAAAAATAATTTCACAAAATCCTACGTAAAATTTTGATTGTTTTGATATATAACACATATACCTAATTTTGCCTATTTTAGGAATTAAAATTAATCCAAGTCTTTAAATGCCAACTTTGCCCCTAAGATTTTCTTAAACCAAAATTACTTAAGTAAGGGTATATTGGACTTTTGCAAAACTCCTCTTCTTCCTATTTTAGCCAACCAAACCCTCTCTCTCCCTCATTCCCTCTATTTCACGTGAAAGATCAGAACCGAGCGGACAGTGGCTTCCGCGAGGGCGTTCTGGCGGCGATCTTTTGGGGAGAGATTTAGTTCAAATCAAAGAGGACAACGAGAGGAACACTCATGCACGATTATTTTGGAATGAATATTTCTCAATCTCTCAATTTTTGTAAGAGAAATTTTTAGGGTTTTTCTTATATTTTGAATTTTGAGGAATTCCCTTTACAAATGTTATTCCTAAGGATATTAGAAATGTTTAAATGAGAAAAAATTAGGGTTTTATAAAATTTTTAATTTTCATGAATTATTTTAATTATTTTAATCCAAAAATTTGAATTATAAATATAAATATATGTTGAGGATTAATTTTAGAGTAATATTTTGATAAAAATTTAAGATTAATGAATTTCAGAAAATTAGGATTTAATTAAATCCGAAAATTAAAATTTATTTAATTAAATATTTTTAAGTGTCGTAGGAAATTATTAAGAAAAAATGAATGGTCGAATGACATGTCTCTTTTATAATCATTTTAGGTTGTGAACGTTAAGGTGAAAGAACTTCGTCGAATCGATGTGCCGAACTTGGTTTGAGGTAGGTAATCATATTTTTTTTATAAAAATTTCATGGTTTTGTTTTGTTCTAATATTCAATGCAAATGTTTGAACGAATTATGAATTTTTAGTTTTGGCAATATGTATATTCAAGACTGTTATTTCATGAATTTAAGAAGCTTCATTCTTATGTTTAAAATAAATGTTTTATGCTTTGCACATGATTTTCACAATTGTTTTTTCCATACATATGAAAGAAAGATAGTATATTAGAAGAATGTGCATGTTGATGCGGAGTGCCCAATGATAAAAGAGGCTCGTAGAGCCAATGGTAAAGGAGGCTTGTAGAGCCAATGGTAAAGGAGGCTCGTAGAGCCAATGGTAAAGGAAATGACCAAAATTATGACTGGGTACATGATCAGTACCAAATTATCGGCACATCCGAGATGGGTGTTACTAAAACATTATGCATAATATGGTTCTTATATGTTCTCTTCAAATTATGAAAAATTTATGTTTAAGGAAAAAAGGTAAATGAAAGGTATTACATTAAGGAAAGAGGTTAAGAAAAATGTTTCTTTTTATGTACTGATACGAGATTATACAAGTTTGATGATCCTTTCATATTTTCATAAGAAACATTGCTTTATTTTAGTTTTATGTAAATTTTTATTTAAAAGAAATTAATTACCTGCTGAGCGTTGGCTCATTCCACATTTGAAATATTTTTCAGGAGATAAGTGATGGTTGTACGACGACCGTACACGTATCGTCGTAGGGGACCTTAGGAGGAAAGTTTCTCTTTTATGATTTCATTTTGAGTCTTTGAGTTTGTTCCTATGTAGTTTGTGAGTTTAAGTTTGAGTTTGAGTTTAAGTTTGAGTTTGAAGTTTATGTAATTGTGAGGCTTATGTAAGATTGATGGGTTTGAAAGTTTTAGTAGTTTTGTGTGATGAACAGTATGAAACTCTCTTTTAGTTTTGACGTTATTAGTGGCTCTTTTCATATTTTTGGATGATGTTTGTATATTACTATTAAGGTCTTTAATGAAGTTATTCATGTTTTATATGATTTATCTGTACGACTGATTGTTCCTACCCTATTAACTCGGGCTAGCCGGGCCGGGTTGTGACATTTCATATGATGTATGTCATCAGTCCTTTACTTAATATCAACTATCAATGACTTCTCGCTCGATTGCAATTAGCAGCACAACCTCTAATTATCTCCTTCAGCTCTCCACCCCACCATTGATCGACATTAGGCTTCTACTTGATCATTAATCGCCATCAAATTTCTGCTTAAACATCATTAAAATTCTTCACATCTTCTGAAAAATATTAGTTCTCCTTCATGGTACTATTATTGTTAGATCTTCTCAAATTATTCTCTCATACAAGAAGTAGTTGATCTTCTTCTATCAAGGATTATCTATTAAGAAGATATTCTTTCATCATTGTTGAGTCCAGTAATTAGGTTGTTAAGCCTAAGTAAATGTCCCAAGACTACCAAGAGGGGGGGTGAATTGGTAGTTTTAAAAATTTTAAACCCTCTTAATGTTAAAGTTGAACCGAAATAAAATTTTCTTTTAAAGTTAGTAGAAAAATGTTTTTCAACCACAGAGTTGTTAAAACTGAAATTTAAAGTGCGGAAACGTAAAAGCTGTAAAGTAAATGACACAGAATTTATAGTGGTTCGGTCTATAACCAGACCTACATCCACTCCTCAGAGGCACCCTCTGAGTATTGCACTAATACCAATAGTGACTCTCCTTTTGCACCCACAGCAAGGCGGAGAAGCCCTTACAACACACTCTTTTCACCACTCCCCGGTGCGGCAGAGAACCGTCATCCTTTCACACTCTCCTAGTGTGGGCAGAGAACCCTACGGCTGTTCACACTCTCCAAGTGTAGGCAGAGAACCTTCGTCCTTTCACACTCTCCTAGTGTGGGCAGAGAACCCTACGGCTGTTCACACTCTCCAAGTGTAGGCAGAGAACCTTCTTCCTTTCACACTCTCCTAGTGTGGGCAGAGAACCCTACGGCTGTTCACACTCTCCAAGTGTCGGCAGAGAACCCTCGTCTGTTCACACTCTCCAAGTGTCGGCAGAGAACCAGACCTTCTTGAATGATCTTCTCACAAGAATCTAGAAGGAAGAAAGAAAAAGAGTGAAGAAATCCAATTTCACAAGTAGAGACTCTTACCTTAGCAATCCAAGTGAAGCCTTCTCGCTCCAGTGGTAGGAATCCTCCTTTGAATGCTCTCTTCCACTCTCTCCTTGGCTATTCTCCCAAGAGGCACGAAGATCAAATGACAAAAAGATTGGGTGGCAGTCTAATTTGGACTATTTATATAAAAGACAAGTGAAACCGCCCAAAAACTGCAAATTTTCAATTCTGTACGCAGTGGATCGTCCGGTACGATTCTGGATCGTCCTGGACGATTTTACTTAAACGATCTGAAACGACCCAATTTGTATATGTGTACGAACTGACTTCGTACAGCTGATCGTCCTGTACGAACATGGTTCGTCCAGTACGAACGGTTATTACAAGGTCGGTTCTAGAAACTGCTGAAAACTGTTCTAAGTCGGTTTATCATTTGAACAAAAATGTGATCGTCTGGACGAAAATTTTCCAGAGAGCAGATCGTCCTGGACGATTATTTATTTCGTCGGGACGAAAATTTTCCAGACAACCAATCGCCGCGGACGATAATTTGTTTTCGTCTGGACGAAAAAATTCCAGAGAACTGATCGTCCTGTACGATATTTATTTTCGTCTGGACGAAAATTTTCCAGAGCACTGGTCGCCTCGTACGATGGTAAAATTCGTCTGGACGAAAAGTTTACAGTGAACCCATCGCCTGGGACGATAATAAATTTCGTCCTGGACGAATAGGACTTAGAAAAATTTTTCAAAGCAAGTTCCTATTCGTTCCAAGTGCTCTTAACGCAACCCTCCACTTTTCTCATCCAGGACTTGGGACCTGGCAACGACAGTGTTAAAGCTAAATATCCATATATATACTAATTAATTATGCATATTCTAGCCATAATTTCTAGATGTACTTCATATAATAATTAACGCATATCATCAAAATCTATTTTTATTGTTTTATCTTCAATATTGCAACTCCTATTATCACTATAATAATCCTTTCCCATAATTTTAATCTTTGATATGACACTATTATGATTAAAATCACATTAATTAGTCAACAACTATTTCTAATGCTAGTAAATATCTACTCATATATAACTTTTTATTTGCATAGGTAAGTTGAGTGTCAAGAATAGAAACATGCACACAAATTTATTTTGAGCCTAGAACCCTAAGCTTCGTGGCTGGGGGAAAAGCCTTTTACTAATAATATCCCCATCGATTTCACCATCACTCTGGACAATAGACTTGAGATATCTAAAATGTGTATTCTTATTAATGCTTGATCGCCCAAAGTCACAATCCCCTCGTTATATCTATTACTACTAAAATTACACTCCACGTATTCGGTTTTAGATCTACGCAAATGAAAATCTTTATACTCTAAGGTTTACCTCTATAATTTAAGTTTGCCTTTAACTCCCTCTTTAGCCTTATCAACAAGAAAATATCATCAGCAAAAAGTATACACCAGGATACATCCTCCTGCAAATGTCTAGTAAGAACATCCATGACTAAAGCAAAAAGCTATGGGCTTCAAGCTGGTCCTTGATGAATCCAACAGAAATAGAAAAATATTTGGTCCAACCTCCTTATGTTTGAACACAAGTAACAGCTCCAGAATACAGGAAGAAACATAACTCCTATAACATAAATTTCACTGGGATAAAAATGATCCATAAAGTTCACATTGAAGAAAGTTAACATCAGCAAATAGGCAAACATTAAGATAGCAATAGATACGTGCAAAAATGATATTTAAATTCTCCAACAAAACAGAGTTCACTACAAATCTGAGCAATTAGATGAAAGCTTAACACTTATAGAATAAATTGAAGAAAGAGTGAGGTTTTGTGAAGATATTCAAATGCAACCTTATTTGAATAAACAAATACAATGGGAAAGCCATGATCCTGCTAGGCCCCACCTGGTTCCACCCAGACACGGAATGTTTATATACTATTTACCAGTCTCTGCCATTATTTTGAACCAAGCAAAGGATGATAGCTTACCATTAAGATCTCTCTGGCTTTATCTTGTCCATATCCATTAGCAAGCTGAAAATCTCCATGCAAATTGTTGGCATATATCACCATTTCAAACGTTGCTTCATTATCATCCCACCCTGGTTCGCCATCATAATCAGTCTTGAGCTGATAATCTTCTGTAGCCTAAGTCAACATTTGGTACTTAACAAGATCTGCTGAAAGCCAACTCAGTATGAAGTTATATACTCATGGACCAACGCCATACCTGCAAATAATTGCCACTCAAAAGTTTAATGTGGACTTTTGTATTGTTTCTTTCAACTATATATGTTTCTGAAACAGTGGGCATATCTGCTGTTGCTAATATCACATTCCCTTCACTTCGTGATGTTAAAAATTGGCCCCCAAAGCATCGAAACTGAAACATATTTTCAGATACTCTCCATATCTAATATAAGAAAAGATTATCAGAATTAATTTTGTAAAGCATAACTCATTAGAAAACTCAGACAAGTTTATCTAAGGCAAACAATTGTTAAATGGTCTGGATGAGGCTGATGACACTCACAAGTGACTTTTATTGTGCTTTAGTGAGGCAAATGCCACGGCCAAAACTAAGTGCATTACCTACTTGAGATACTTTCATCATAAATGGACTCTCAAAGTATTCTCTTCAATCGTCATAAACTGTGGTTTGCCTTACATCAGTGACTAGTGACTAACCAGGCATTGGAAAAGAAACCCATGATCTACGATAATAGTTTTGTTCTATTAAAAGAGCACATCAACATATATTATTACCACGTAATAACAACTTAAATTTTGAGTTTTCAAAAACTCATATGTCAAAATTGTGCATGCTGAGTACACCAGTTAGTAAACATACATCTAACCCAGAAACGTAAGCCATTAAGGACTAAAACTAATACAAACAAAGCTCAACACCTTGTTTCACATTGGTTATGCTTGCTTTTATTGACTATCACTTAGATCCAATAATCTCCCCTTGCTCAAGAGTTTCATTACTCCTAAATCCTAATAGAAACTTGAGTATTGCCAAATCCCCCAAAACGAACATACATAAAAAAATTGCTTGAACTTCCAACGCCATTGTGTCGTGAACTAAGATGCCGTTCAATCAGCACTAACCAATGTGCTTGTCACTCACTTTCGAACAATGCTTAACCTGGGAGATAGGACAATGGAATCCAGAACTCATATATATCAACAACATAGACTGCACAAGTGCTGCCAATTGCTAAAATGAACCACTAGCATACAATAAAACAACTCCTTGTTTAACTTTCAACTGCATGTTTTTAAACCAGCTCCAATGTATATCCCAACAAGAATAGCTTTCAGCGAGATAATTAATAGAAGTAGCATTTTGAATGTAAGGGCTAACACATAAAAGTTGCACTAATATTTAATTCTCTGTAAATTAACTTAGATGCAAAATTAGCAAACGTTTATTATGAACCTACGTCATTCTAGTTAAATCATAATCAATCTCTATGCAATAGATCAAACAAACTAAAACGGAAACAAAGAAAAAACATTCTTGTTTTTATTTATTTAAGTATTTGAATTAATTGGAACTCGATTTTAAAACTGAGTTCAAGCATTTGCTAGGTAGAAAGTTAATGAATATCAGTTCATATATGTGGAATTCATCTTCATAAAGATTAGAAGTGAGTTCCATTATATTTGCTTGGAAATCAACTAAAGTTTTTCTAGTATGCAATAAAAATGACATAATCTATAGTTAATAAGAGAGGATTAAAACTTTAATTTGGCACAAAATTATATTATGGCATGCTGGAAAATATAATAAATAAATAAATAAAATAGCATGCTAGAAAATTTGCAGTAATAGATTTTATGTTTAATATCTTAGCTTTAAAAAAAATCCAACAAGCATAGAAAAAAGTTATAAGAAACCGAAATTTTTAAATGGAAAATCTAATGAATGGAAAAAATCACGGGATATAGCCTAGTTGCAATACTTCGTCATGTGATAAAAGATACAAGAATCTTTGTTTTCTCACAATTAAAAAATATGATATTATTTACCGTTGAGAACAATTGTCTAATTGTCATTGTACAAATTATAGAAATCAAATATCCACAAGCATGCAATAAAGCCCAACAACAGGATTAAACATTAATAGTCAAGCAATAGTAGTCGGATAATGGAAGTCTAGCAATGGTGGCGGCGATTCTTTATGTTGGTCGTCAGCATTGATTGTCAAAAAATACAACAGAGTTCTTTAGCCGTTTCAACTCCTGAACCCTCTCCCATGTTGAGAATGTGGCTCTATTTATAGCCTTTTTGAGAGGGGTATTTTAATAAATTTAGACATAATCTAAAACACTCCATCATACAATCCTTATTGATCTCTTGATCATAGATCATTTATCAAACATCTGAGTGCCTTAATAATGTCAAAATCAAATGATCTTAGGCTAGTTATATTTGTCTCATCGAACCACTCAATTTGAGTATAAACATACTAGAATTAGAGACCATTTTTTGATTCAATTAATGTTTAGAAGGTTTCAAATATATTTCATGTGCCTGATTTGAGCTCATTTGAACTTGAATCAGATCGCTTGAAGTGATGATGGGTTTGTCTCGTCGGCACATTCAGTTTGACTAAAGGTTTATTGAAATAGGAGTTCAAGTGCTCCTGAATTTAATTTTAAAAATTTCTAGTTTAAATATTACCTCGAGATTCATGCCGATCATGTGAATTTTCTAGAGATGTATCAATAATAAAATAGGATAGTAAAAATAAAACTCATGCAACTTAATTAAAAATAAAATTTAGTTTGCCAAAACTTAGTACATCCAAAATAAATAGACATCATTGAAATTAAATGCAATAAAAACCATTCTCTTCAGGAACATGATTCCAATCAATTCCAAACTACGTATATTGTATCAAATTGGCCCTAAATGAAACCAAACTCGGTATACATGTAATGAAAAGAAGCAACTAGAAAGAAATACTTCATTCTTTCTAAATTAGTCTCAGGGGTCAAACCTTGAAGGTCTCCCACCAAGAAGGAATGTCACGATCTACAGTTACATCCATGCCTCCCCCATTGGCAGCACTCACATACTTCTGTAGTGTCACTGACTTGAACTGAACCTGAGTTCCATCCTAAGAAACAACATTTTTTTTTTCTTTTTTTAATTTTTTTTTTATAAGGAAAGAAACACGCAGAACAAAATAATAATACAGTCACAAAGAAAAAAAAACAATTTGGCCGAGAGAGACAACACTCACAAGCATATCACCATTGGGAATTTCATCAAAAAGGGAAGGTTTGATCCATCTCTCCACCACCAACCACCCTCCTAAGTTCACACCTCTTACCTTTCTGAGACCGTTCACTGAGTCAAATCACCAAACACGGAACATTCATTAAAACTAAAACCTAAAGAAAAAAAAAACAAGAAAGAGTGCATCTTTACATCATTTCCAACAAGAAGCATTGAACCACCCGAGAAAAAAAAGAATCTTTGATGCATTGACATAGAACAAGAAGACTCCAGCCCAAACACATTCAGGGGTGAAATTGGCCTCACCTAAAGACTGCGACAAAGGACAGGCCAAGCAGTAAAGAAACATAAAAGCCAATGCCTGTCGGCTGCGAGAAGAGCCCATCTCACTCAGATAACGACAAACTCTGCATCAATGGAAGCCAAATAACGCTGTAATAGGATTCTTGCTTTATTTTTTTAATGTATATACGGTTCAACATGACAAGGTAAGTTGAGAATCCGAACCTTTTGTACCTTGCTTATCCCCAAGTTTATCCCAAATGTATCTCCCTAAGCTTGACATCATATGCATCATTAACGGCTTCCATTCGCACACAAATAATTTCATAAAGCAAAACCCTAACAATTTTTCTTTGTTCGCCAATCTGGAGAAGTGTTTCTCTCGATCTTTCGACCATAGTTTTTTTATAGCGGGAAAGAAATCGACCTCCTTGTCGAGAGGTTGAAGCGAGTTGTAGTAGACTTGCAGATGAGACGGGGATTTCAAAGAAGCAAATTTGATCCGGCATCTTGTGCCTGCTAGCACGATTCATGATTCATCCCTAATTTAATGGATAGAAATCCAAAAGTTAAATATTTGATAAAGATATGCTATTGCACATAAACTAATGCGAAATAAACAAAAGAAGGTCCACAAGATGCTTTTGAGGCATTCCTTAATTTCTCTTGATCATTATGGAGCAAGCAAATCATTCCCAATTATATCCTTCGATAAGAAACTTCAAAGGTGTTACTATAACTAAATGAGTGCAAGGACATTTTAAGTTTTGATTTAAAAAAAATAAAAATAAAAATAAAAAAGTTTTGATTTTTAAATTTTTTGCTTGCAGTGTTCTTGCAATTGAGCTTCTATGTGCTTTGTTATGATTTTTCTACTTAGTGTCCTTGCAATGGGATCCTCAATTAGGGCTTCTTCTAAACTGTTATGATCGATTCTTGATGCTCCGACTTCAACAAGCATTTTATTCTCTCTTTATCCTCATGGATTCCATAATGGAATTGCCTTCCTTTTTTGCTATATCTACCACCACCTTCACTATTAGAGCCAACCCATATTGAGGTTTTCTAACCCTTTTGAAAACTTGTTTAAACTAGAAGAACTTCCCCACCTCCCATGCAGCAAGTAACACTAATTACTCCCTATCTTGCATATCTTACAAATACTTTGTTGTGTCCCGAAACATTCACAACGGCAGAGATATATAGAATTTAATATCCAAGTTTTATACAAAGATTTAACACACAAACATATACAAGAGAGCGTGCAAAAGTTATAAGAGATCAATAATTTTACGTGGAAAATCCGAAAAGGGGAAAAACCACAAGATTTGATTTAAGTGTAAATTATGTACTATGTATTATATTTAAACTTTAGTAAAAATGTGTTATTTTAATTATTTTTACAGGAAATACTAAAAAATGTAAAAAATACAAAGTATTACATAGCGTCACGGCGCCGGATGAAACAAAGCCACTACGTTTAAATCAACTATACTAAAGTGTCATTTTTGGACATTCCAGCACCACCATCTATGTTTGCGAGTGCTGCAGGGGCATCACAAGCAGCACCGCTGCGTTTTGAACATTCAGCTTGGCAACATCAAGTTCTCAAGAAAATGAATGCATGTCATAGCGTTACAATTCAAATACCCCAGCATCGAAAACTCCACACAGGTGCTACATCACTCATTTCTGGAGCATCATGGCATAATAGTTATAACTTCCTAGAGCCACAACTGACATAACAAAAGGATGTGTCTATATATTCAATTAGTAACCATTCTATATTATCAAGTGCCGCGGCCAAGTAAACTTGTCAGCACTGAGGCGCTAGTTCACTTTAATTGTTGTAACGCCACATTGTAAAGTGTTGCAGTGCTTGAGGTCTTTTTTTGTGTTTTCTTATAAATAGATGTTCAATTCTGATTGTAAAAAAGTTCAATCGCTTAAGTAAATTTTAATACATTTTATTGCACTTCTCTAGTACCCTATTAAAGTAAAATTTAAGAGAGGCTAGGGAAGTGCAATATATCTCTAGGAGAGTTTAGCCTGAGTTTGTATAATCAACTCGATAAGTGAAAGATGAATGTGTGTAGAGAAGATACTTTGATCCTTCTTCGTGATAAAATTTTACTTCTCTTGTACTTTGATTCTTTTATGAATATAATGAAAATGAGTTTGCTTGTTATTTCTTCTATGCCTGGCTTGATGTCTTATTTTAGATTGATGATGTAAATAGTATATTAAGTACTAATGTAGACTCTTGCACTCTAAAGAATTTATAGATGTTTTCAATATATCATGTTTTTATATAATGCATACAATGATCATGTGTGTAGTTAAAACTTAATGTGATGTATAGGCTCGATGGAAGAATGCAAGATCAATTAGGAGTATTGAGATAGAATGTTGGGATGCCTAGACATATGATATTTAAATATTTTAGGTTTTATAGAGATATTAAAATTGTAGTAGGTCAACAGATATTCTTTTCATCCTTATAAGCTTGATAGAGATCGAGGGATGCATATGCGTTGATCCACTTCTAAAATTAAGAGTATCATTAGAAAAAAATGATATTTACATGCATCAATCTAAAATATTTTATTAAAATTATACTAGCTATTTTACTTATTTTATTCAGTGATAGGAACTCAAAAATATCATTTTTTTTTTGGAGGGGGTTGGTTATAGGCCTACAAGGTCGTTGGCGGGACTAGTTGGTTTGTAGGCAGGCCTGATTCATGGGCCGATGGATTCGCAGGCGGTCTTAATTCGCAGGCTATATTATGAATTTTTTTATTTTTTTTCAAAGTAATTTCTGTCGTAAATGTTTTCAACTGAATCTTCTCAACGATGTTTATTTTATAATGCGTGAATTACCGTCGATAATTATTTTCATCATAAATATAAATTATTGACGGATTTAAGTCATTTTCTAACTGAAATGGTTGCTGGAAAATATCATTTTTCCTGTACTACATGAGATGTCCATTTTGCAAACCGATTTCACAAATGTTTTTAAAATAAAATTATTTATTTTATGAATATCTAACATGTGCAAGATGTTGGGCCGACATGCCTTCCTTTAAATACTGTAGTTTGGTGTTATTCTCTATTGATTTATGTGATACACTGATTGAGAATTATAAAGAGATGATTATTATGCTGAAGAGTAAAAAGTGAAGACTTTCTTTAATGAGCTAATAGTTTACTGACACTACTACAAGAAAAATACCACTATATTCATGACATTCACTTGTTTAATATGATTATTTGAATTTATGTTACTAAATCATTGTCACTGTATGGCTTTACTGTTACTTTTACCTATGTTGCTGATGTTATAACTATTCTACTACTATTAATATGATGATCATGTGATATATATTAAGCATATGCATTAGACACTAATACAGAGTTGACACTGCTATGATATTTCTAAGCATGTGATACATTGATACAATTATTTTTATATGATTTTATTATATTGATATGACTTTGATAATCTTTAATGATGTTTTGATTTATTATTTTATATGATTTCTCTAATGATTGTAGTATTGATACGATAATTTCCTTAGTGATTCGATACATGTATTGATTTATTGATTTCTATTATATTATCATATGATCATGTGAATGCTACTATTATGATTTGACTACTAATTTAACATGCATATTATTCCTTTGCCTTGTATTAAGTTCTATTATTATAGAATTTGGTTGCTTGACGGCTTGTGAGATCATTATATGTGATTAAATATTTTCAATTCAGGAGATCAAGAGTGTGAGGATGGTCAGGATTCTTCATGTTCTATTTTTTATTATAGTTATTTTTTTTTATACTCATGAAAGAGTAGTTATGATATGATTGTGCAAATCCTGAATAGTGCACTTGATTTTTAGGGAAATGAATATAAATGTATATATTTATATTTTGATCAATAGTTTTATTTTTATTGATATTTAGATTGATAAAAAAATCAGATAGCTTTGATATTATTTATTAAAAGATAAAAGAATAATTCTTTCAAATTAAATTTTTGAGCATCACTCCAAGATAAATATTTACAATAGAGCGTGAATTAATTATTACCAGATCAGAGTTGGTGGACTGTAGTTGGCAGGCGACAGTGGGCAAAAGGATTGTAGTCGACAAGCAATTGAAGATGGAAGGACCATAGTTCGGCGATGGTGGTCAGTGGAACCATAATCGACAAACGAAGGTGGTCGAAGGGATCAAAGTCAACAGTCACAGTGGTTGGAGGGACAATAGTCGACAGGTGATGGTGGTTGGAATGACCTTAGTCGACGAGTGACGGTGGTCAGAGTGGTGTGTCAATGGCAGTCGGACAGAGGTCCAACGGTGGTTGTCGGTTGGTTTGACAGGGATCTGTGGACGGGTGGTTCTCTAATGACGATCGAGCAGAGTTATGGCTGTGGTCAGTAGATAGGGGGAGGTCTTGCGACAATAGGCAGTTGGATGGATATCCAACAGGTCCAATGGCGGAGGGTAGATTGGAGATCGTCCAGTGATATATGGCTGGCGGACAAGCAGTGGTCTGGCACTGGTCGACGGAAGTTCATCAACGATGATGCTTGCGTATAACTCTAGGAACATAAAGTCTCAGAGCTCTCTCTATTCTCCAACCAAAAAGCCCAAGCTTACAATGGTCCAAGTTTCCCCAATCATATGGGTACAAAGGGGCCTATCTAAAATTTTTGAGAGGGCATACCCCCTAAATATTGAGAATATCTAGGGTAAATTTAGAATGCTTTATACTTATGACTCATATTGCTTCCATTGATCATAGAGTACTCATCATGCATTTTAGTTACTATAGGAAAATCGTCAATTACCGGTGGATTTCTGATGGATTACGGTGAAATTTTTCAGACAAATTTCCAAACTGATTTTTCGGTGGATTTTTTTTTTTTGACGGATTTTCCGGTGGATTTTAATAATTTTCGACAAATTTTAATAATTTATGGCGGATTTTAATATTTTCTAAAAAAAATTATATTTTCGTAATTTAATTAATTAATAATTTTATGACTATTTTAATTAATTTATAATTTAATAATATATTTTAAGTAATAATTAATTTAATAAAGTTTGTAACCCTCTAGCTAGTAATAATTATCACTCACCCGGATTGGTAAAAATTAGACTTATTTATCCTTTCTACTTATTTTCTGATTCATTCATATGAACTACTAGGAAGTATTTGGATTGTTTCAATGACACTATGAATCATTTCTAGAATCTCACTAACTCTGGTGTTCTCATATTTGCTTTCTGCAATAAACTCAACAATGTTAAGAAGTTGAGCTCGATTCAGACGATTCTTAATACTGTAATCTGTAAAATGCCACTTCACCACCATAGGAGGAAGAAGAATATCTATGAAGATAGAGTCAAGGAAGATGAAAGGAAACAAAAAGGGAAACCTTCATAACATCATATGATCAGTTTGTGATCCAGCGGCAAAACTTTGATAAAAGCTCACATCTCGGCCTGTCTACTACAAAAACTACCATGCGAAAATCGGTTACTTACTAGATGCTTAATTAGTGAATCTGTAAGTCTGATTGCTAAGGACGACTGTCTTCTTTTTATTTAAGCAGCTTGTCGTGTTATACAAAACAAATGGAAAAGAAAAAGG